AGCCCTCCTGCCATGGGCAGGGACATCTGTCACATCCTTTGTGAAGAAAACAGCATTTTTTAAAAAATCCAAACAAACAAACAAAAAACCCAAACCACCAACCCCCCAAGCAAACAAAAAACCCCAAACAAATAAAACCCAACCAAAACAACAAAAATCTGCAGACAAAGCTAGATCAAAGCCATATTTTTAAGTCTCTGCAGATTTGGGATACCTCATTGATTGCATATAACTGAAGTCTCTAGGATCTGATATTTGAAAACACCCAGTGTGCTTCATATTCCTGTAGATGTTTCAAAAAGCACAAAATCGTGTCAGCACTCCAATTTTGTAAATGGTGCAAAAGAAACACAAAGACAGAGCGGTGCCAGTGTGAGATGAATACTAAAACTGACTCTTTTCTTTAACGTAGAAAGCAGCACAAAATAAGCAAATTAAACATGGGTTTTCTTTCATTTAATTATTATAAGAATTACTTGTTTTTAGAAAGCTCTTCATTTATCAGTCCAGTTTTAATCTCTTAAATTAAATCTATAATTACTATGCATTCACATCTATAGAAGAATGATAGGGAAACTCACATTTTTTGTCTTGTCATTTTCTGTTTGTTAAAAGTACACTGATCAAACCAAATATTCAGTACAAATGTAGTAAATAAAAAGTACTTGCTGTTTTCAAGATAATGAACAAATTAAACAAACATGAACAAAAAAAAAACCTTTTAAGAAGGAAAATACTGCACTTCAATTTATTTTCGGTAATTGCATTTTTATGACAAAAGAAATTTTCTTAAGTGTCGACATTTTACCTACTCTGGTTTGTTACTACTTATCAATTTCAAATAATAATTTAGTAATCCTTTGCTCTTACATCAGGCCTGCAGTTCATAATGTGCTTTACAGAATCTGATCTGTTGCATTCCCTGAAGCAAATAACCAAGTCCATCCAAATTGATTCTACCATTGATTTCTCAGCCTGTAAATTTGTGTAGATTGCTGCACTTTATTTCCTCTTTTGCTCGTAGCTCTATTAATGTGAATCTTCCTTTCTTCTTTCCCTACCTTTTTAATTCCTTCCCTCTTCTCTTTTACAGATGCACTGTCTCCCTTTATCCTGCTCTCTCTTTTCTTTGCTCTTTTCTTTCTTTTTTTGCTTTTTTTTTTCCCTTCCCTTCTGCTGCCTTCTGTCAGTCCAGGAATGTTTTCATCTCATACTCCTTTCAAATTTCTACTTGATTTCCCCTGCCACTCTTCTCTGTTTGTATTTGGTAAAAAGCTGCAGGAGGGTATAAAACATGCACACATGGAATTAAAGTGCTAGTACACTTTGTTAGCACCTAGAAGCTTACCTTCAGCCCTATTTATCTCAGAAGAAATTGAAAATGGGATAAGTAGTTAAAGCTGGAGGCAGAAACATGCAATTCAGAAATGCTGGATGTCCAACTCTTCCTTTTTCCATGGTAGCTACAGAGTGCCATCTATTGTCTCCAAATAAAACATTTTCATGGAATCACAGAATATCCTGAGTTGCAAGGGACCAAGAAGGATCATTGAAGTATAACTCCTGGCCCTGCACAGGACAACCCTGCGGATCAAACCATGTGCCTGAAAGTGTTGTCCAAACACTTCTTGAACTTTGGCAGACCTGGTGCTGTGAGCACTTCCCTGGAGAGCCTGTTCCAGTGCTCAACCACCCTCATTTTAAAATAAGTTGCCCTGAAATTACCTTGGCCTTAGCTGCTGTTTTCTGCAGATAACTATACATTCTTACTGAGTGCATTTACTGCAAGAAAACTTCATTCAAATTTGTTACTTTTCTGCACTTCTTACTCTCCCATCCCGATGTCATCTTTAAGTGTTTGATTCCTTACCCTCTTTACAGCATTTATCTGCATTTTGTCTCATGTGTGTTAAAACTACATTAATAAAGATTTTTAATAAAGGCAGAGGAGATTTTCTTGATGTTGCTTCCCACATATTCAAGAAAAATTGGAGCACCTGTTCTTAAATATCCTTAAACATCATATTTAGAGTTGACTGTAAACTTTTATACTGGGCAATAAAATTTGTAACATCTTATCTTCAGCTTTACCAAAGCTAGCCTTTACAGTGAGTGTTGCTAAAGCATTGGCAGATAACTAATTTCTGCATTACTCAAACCACCTCCTGGACAGTGGCTGGCATGGTAGTTTGTTTGCTTAAGAAATGTTTTTCCTAATTTAACTTCATAAGTTTTATATCAATTTGTGTACTTTTTTTATCATCATAAGTATTTTTTTTATTTTCATGCTAAGTACACTATGCAAGTGGGAAAAATTACATATTTTAAAAAACATATATTATATTAAGATTAATTGTCATATACCTTGTACTTCCTATAGTTTTTGTAGGAAGTAGTCATGGCTAAAGGTTATTCTTGTAATGATGAAAACAACACTTGTGTGTTCTTGAGTTCACCTTTCAGATCCTGTAGGATACTCAGATATGAAAGAAATATAAAGAAATGTTATGGATGGTCAGCCTCTATACAGCCAAATTTGAGTCATGGCCAAAATGACCTGATTAGGTAAAAGAGCAGGAGCTGAAACTCATTGCGTTCTAATCACAGCTTCTGACATTTCCCTGTTATTGTCTGAACTTCCTCTGAACATAATCATCCAAGAGCAGAATGTGAATTTTGCTGTCAAAAGGCCAAAATTATAAAGCAGCACTGGCAGCATTTTAGGCATAAATCTGCTGACTTGATCAGAGACAAGGATTAATAATTGGGCCAACATTTTGTTGAGCTGCACAGCTTACTATTCGGTAGATACCCAGTTGTATTGACCTAGTTTTGCCCATAGCGCTGGCTTTCAACTATTTGATCCAGGCTGCCTGTCATATGTGAAAATACTCAGTTTCATTTGGAACAAGATCTCTTCTGATTTCTCACCAGCAGAGCATGCAAATAGATTGGTTTGACTTTGCTGCCTCTTTTTCCTCCATATTCAGGTAAATAATAAATGGCAGTAGCTCAGCTCTTGCAAAGTATTTCTGATGTGTAGGACACAAAGATGACAAGTGTTACCGTATCATTTTGGACATGAGGAAATTGAAGCTGGAAGAACAAATGACTTGCCAAGATCACTCAGCAGCACATGGGCTAAGCAGGGAAGAGAAATCATGCCTTCAGCTTACTGTCCCAGTTCTGCTCCAACCCCCAGGCCACACTTCTAATTAAAAACCTGTTTAGACTTCCTAGATCTGGATTACATTATGTCTACTCTGCACATATTTAAGAAGGTGTTAAAGGAGTTGCTACAAGGCAAATCAACAGCCATGATCCAAAAGAAAAGGAACTCTGACTTTATTTTCTGATTGTTAAAAATGCTTCAAGAATACACAAACTCAAGACAATATATCTTTTTCTCACAGCTGTATTTTTAAAAGGTTGTTTTCTGACTTCACACTGTTAAAAAAGTTAAGAGATGAAGGGCCATACAGGGTAGGACTAATACTTTGCTTTAGCTTTTTCTTTCAAAAATGTTAAGCTTCAGATTAACGTTTTGGAAAGTTGAGATGTTATTTCAAGATCATGATCAAGTTGGAGATTCAATTTGGACATTAGCACTGGGCAAAGATGAAAAAATGCCTACTGATTTCTGAAGTATCATATTAAGATAAAGTCTCCATGTCAAGATAAAGTCTACATATGTACAGCCATAAGACTTTATTTGCATGAAATAAAGCATCCCTTGATTAATCTCTTCTCTCCATTTTTTTTCTTTTCTTTAAAAATAAAATGGAAATGAAAAAGTCATTTGTGTGATGTAGAACTGCCATATAGTATGAAGGAAATATGGAATCTTTTATACAAGAAGCATTCTGGAAAATGTTGCTGTATATGGTGTGTATTTGTGTTGCTGGTAACTTTTATTTGTAAAAATAGAGAATGAGTAGAATACCCTGTTTCTCTGGGAGGAGTCACAGACACGTATGTGTTTGGGAGTACTTGCAGGGCTGGGCTTAAAATTTACACATGCTAGTATAACAGCATTTACACTTTTTCTAAAAATTAAATTGTTAGAGAGATTTGAAACAGGGTAAGTACCAATAAATGTAGCAGGTATGTGTATATAGGGTTGTGCGTGCTTGTGTTTCCAAGGGAGAGCCAGATCTGAGGTCTCATATGTAAAGACTGGAAATAGGAATAATATTTGGGACCGTTTCTCAAAGATGATTGCTTAGGAAGTTATCTTTTTCTGGACATAAGTTTTCCCATCAGTAAAATGCATGTTATGTTTACATCCTTTGGGGCATATTTTCAATTTACAGAAGAAAAGTGCTGTATGAGATGTACCTGTTATTATTTATTGATTTCTATCATAATTAATAACTTTTTAAATGAGTACAGCAATAGAGGTATCCCTTGGGCTGGTTCAATGATAAAGCTGAAGTGTGACTTTACAATTGCAAGCTCCTGAGAATGTCAAAAAAGTTTTTAATGAGATTCTGCTGTATTAGCTTGATCATATAAATGTTATTTGCTCCAAATCTGTCAGGATCAAACACAACTGCCATTGCTTTGCCTAGAATTTTAAGTTTTTTCTTTGTTCATTTGTTTCAAAAGCAAAACTAGAACTTAAAATAAGAAGGTACCATAAATATTGATTCTCATTCTATATATAGTATTCCTATAAATTAGATTATTAAATATATTCAGTGTTTTGTTTTTTCTTTTAATAAATCTGTCACTTAATATAGTGAAGATGAGTCCAATGGGCTGAAATTAACAGAGATGTTTGGATTCAACCACGAGGAAAAAAAATAAAATAATGCTGGTTGATTCCTACCTCATCTGTTCACCACTTAGGAGATTTTTGTTATTTGTTAAATGGTTTCTTTAGGCAATAACAGGCAACTGTGTCTTAAGCAAAATATGTTATGCTTAAGATGCTGTGAAAAATGCATACACAATAAGAGGTTTAAATGGATAAACATTATCATTTTGTTTCTAAACAGAGAGCCTCGAAAAATCATCCTGCACAAGGGCTCCACAGGACTTGGTTTCAACATTGTGGGAGGTGAAGACGGGGAAGGCATTTTCGTGTCTTTCATCCTAGCAGGTGGGCCTGCAGATCTCAGTGGAGAACTGCAGCGAGGAGATCAAATTTTATCTGTAAGTATTTCTGTTGGGCTTTCCTGACCAACTTCTTCATCTTGTTTTTTGCCTATACTGCAAGGGACACACAGAGACGTCTTTTTCGTTTCCATGTTTTGAAATTCGAGCTGCAAAAAATTTATTCCTGAATATTTTGGGTTTCTTTTTTTTGTTTGTTTGGTTGGTTTGCTTTGGTTTTTATAGCATTTTTCAATGGTGTTACTTGAACTTAACTCAGAATGAGACTTTTCACTGCTTAATGCTATCTACAGTATGGTGACTCTGCAGAGAGAACCTAAGCACAGTGCAGACCTAAACATCTCCCAGTTTGGCCCACCATCCAGTTCCATTTTTCCAAAAACACACTACTGAGTTCAAAGATATTTCTCAATTTCAGATTTTCTTGGAGGAGAGCAAGCAGTACAATGAAATCATCTGTACTGGGGCTGCCATCTAGTGTGCACTAAACTGCTTAACAGGCAGCTCAATACAAGAAGGAGATTAATTAGGTTATGTTAATTATCTCTGTGCCTCTAATGAATTTGATGATCCCTCTGAAATTCTTTTTCAAATTTTAGTGGATAAAAGGCTTTGTAGCTTGAGGTTATATTTTGCATACTTAGTCTCAAAAACATCTTTTTAATTTTTCTTTCATGTATATATTGATACCACACTTTTAAAAACCAGAACATTTATGTTTTAGGCTCTGTCAAGTAATTGAACATATGACTGAAACAATATGAATGTAAAGGATTTTGAATTACAATGAAAGCCTTGAAAATGTAGTTAGATATCCATTCACATTATGCTGCCTTACAGAAAAATAAATAAACTATCCCAAATTCCTACACTTGTGACTGTTTCATGCAAAGCACATCAACAGCCTTAACGCTGAAACATGGGAATTATTTATGCCACGAGTGATGGACCCACTAGGCTGCAGTGTCACACTGCCTCCCAGTGTTGTGTTTTCTATCCCTGTGAATCCTGCATATTTGGCTGCACTTTGGTTGTAGTTAAGAGTGGATATGGTTATGCAGCACTTTCCTGATCACTGTTTAAATTCATAAGAAAGCTGAGTATGGTTTTCCTATATTGCTAAGGAGTGACTTGGCCTATTCTATGAAAAGTGAATTTACCTTCCACCTGTCAAAGTTTTGGTGTAAAAAGATGACTGGAGCTGTTTTGCAATACAAAGAAAATCTGGTAAGTTATCACTAAAGAGATGCAGTAACATGACCTAATGATCATAATAGCGTTTTATCTAGACCTGTTCCTTAGAATTGCTGTAAGAAAAAATGATAAATGGCAAGTAAAAGATGTTTAGGCACCTGTGTGAGTTGACATAGGCTGGAACAATCACAAAACCACGGCTGAAATGCAAAGACTACATTTATTTCATTACCTCACTAACTGGAGGATTCCGAAGCAACACTCAGGTAGAGGCACATAAGTGGGAATACAGGCACTGTTAGGCTCCGTCCATTGTTGCGGACAGTGGTCCTGCTGTTTGCACCAATTTATCAAGGACCTGCACACTTGTAGTTTACAATCATGCTGTGATCTCCCTTGTGCTTTTTTATGATCTCTGAGCTTTAATCTTCTCTGTCCCTAAACAGGGAGCTCAAGCATGTCCATGAGACTGTGTCCAAGTCTCTCAAAACACTCACGTTATCTCTACACAGAAATTCTACTTCTCAAAACAGAGGATAAATGGCAGCAGGCATAATATAAGAGGTTTCCCACACTGTTATTCCCAGGCCTTAGCATTCCTAACTGCAAAGTTACTTGAACCAATCTACCATCCTCCTCGCCATTCTTTCGCTTTTAATTCTGTCCTCCCAATGGTGCCTTAAAGAGTTCTTCAAGTAGAAAGTTTGTAGGGAACTGCAAGAAGACCAAAATAGACTCTTATATAAAAGTTATCAATATGAAGAGATAAGGAAGTCAAAGGCCTGTGCCAAGAAGAGCACACACAAGAAACCCAAGGAATAAAAATAGAAATTTCTTTAGGACAAATATGCACTTTATTTTTCTTTGGTTAGATGCAGCAAAATAGGGCTGACTGACAGAACACTATGAGATCAAAGCCTTTTATAGTACATTGTATTTGGAAATCCAGAAGTTCAAATTTAAAAGTCCATTTTCCTTTATTTTTAAGCAAGATATATTTAACACTGTAGAATACAGCAGAAGTTGAAATTTTAAACTCTGATTTTTTTGTCTGTCTCGTAGTGATGTTTTCCATAAATTCTAATAATGTTACCAGTGTTGCATCATCATTTACTTGTCATGCAAGACTTGTTTATTTGTTCATTAAGCAGAGAGGGATGGAAATTATTACAAATTAGACTGCATACATATCCCCAGGCACTCACCCAGTCAGGCCCCTGTTACTTATTTAGTCACAAATAACTATTATGGATCCATTTTTCCATATTCAACCAAAACCCATTTCATCCACAGGCTCCATTTAGAGCTCATTAATCTTATACCATTGTCTAGTGAAGGGTCCCAGACACCTTAATTTCATAAGGGCTGCACAGAAAAGGTCTGTTTCTCTCTGTTTGTTCCTTCTTGTGTCATCCCTCAGAAACATTTATTTCCCTACAGAAATAGTTTTCCCATTAGTTTCTCAAAGCATGACAAGTCTGATTTACAAGAACAAATAGTACCCTTAAAGCTGCTATTTCTAATTAACTGAAGCTTGGTTAAATTTCTTACAGATAGGAAGCGTAGTAAGTGATTTAAACTTCAGAGATCCGGATTTAATTTCTCTTAAGATTGGTATTGCAGAATTACAGTGAAACCACAGGAGTTGTCTTGTGATATTTTATATGCTGTTAAAACCTGCTGTGATCTGCTTTCTGGCCAACCCCTCTAACATTTATTTTCTTTCAGAGTGCTACTTCCTTCATTGCTTTTGTTGTCCCTGCCCATTGCAAGGTAGTTGGACTGTATGACCTTTAAAGCACCCTTCTAACCCAAACTGTTCTATGATTCTATTTAATCCTCTAATTTAGCCAGTGTCTTTCTGTGTGACCTTAGGCAAGGCACTTCATTTTTCTAAGCCTCAGTTTCCCAGCTGAACAATGAGGATCACAGCACTTTCCTAATTCATGCCTGTGCTGCAATTATGGCAAAGTGTTGACTGGTTGAGAGCTGTGTATGCTCACCTCTGGGAGCATATGTTTAAAAATACCTAAAATAGACTGCAAGTACGAATGAGACCCAGCAAAGCTCTGCCTTTATATGCACGGCCTTTGAGTGTCACGCTGGATATATACATAGTCCCACAGTATACATAGCCCACAAGGCTTGGACAAATCCCATAACTTCTGCCTCTCCTTTTGCCTGACCACTGGGATGGGGTCCAAGCCTACAGCCCACCAGGGGCACTGGAAAGGTGGTGTCACAGCCTTGGCCCCCTGGACGAGTGAAACTTGAATTTATTTTTCCCAGATGCCACCAGGTGGCAGCCCACGATCAGTAATGATAGCGGTCTGCCTTTGACTAAAACCTTAGGAAAAGCGGCAACAACTGAGGATTTTTTCCGTTTTCAGTTATTTGATTGGAAATGTTTAAAACTTATCTCAGAAAGCAGGCTGGTATTCTCGATGCTTCTGTGCAAAAAGACAAAATTAATCCTATCTGAACCTTGAAGGTCAATTGAAGAATAATGGAAAATGCTGTGTCAAAGAGTAAAACATTTCAAATAGCACAAAAATTAATTATAAAGTTACATTCATGAGAAGACAGTTTTTCCCCCTGAAATGTAAGATGTTTTAAATGCTGGTTTTGTCTTGCTATAATTCATTATGCTCTTTTGAATTGCCACCAAGCTAAACATTTTTCTTCTAATTTCTGAATGTCTTCAAAATGTAGTAATACATGCATCATCAGCGTACTTTCATAACAGAATATATCACTTCTTGTAGTATTTTCCTCTATTAAGTATATTTTAACTATTATCAAGTGGCATTTTAAATTCTAATTGACATCAATGCTTGATTTACTACATGTTGTGTACACACAGATTAAATTTCATCTCAGATACTTTTAATCCAAAATTCAGAATATCAGTGGAAGAATTTATTTCAATTTAGAGCAGTGGAAATGAGGTGCCAGTATGTTAAATGATTTGTGTAAAATCATTTTAGAAGTCTGAGCCAAATCTAGACTTAGAGGTTGCTTGAACTCGGATCTAACCCCAAGTTCTCCGTTAGGAAAATGCAGTCTTCAATAAAAATAAAATGTCATGTTCCCTGATGCCATTCTTGCAGTTTTAAGTTCCAATGCTAAGGAGTAGATTGCCTATTAAAACAGCAGTGGGAATCCAGTGTTGGTTAGTTAAAGTCACCTGCATGAGAACAAATTATTTCCATGAGCAATATGCATAAAACAGCCATAACTGTGCATACACTCCGAGAGAAAGCAGTACAAATGTTATAATTTTAGGAAAGAGGCACATAGTGAATACATTGCAATTTTTAGGGGAAATTCCTGAGAAGGCAGGAGAAGCAATATGGTCCTTCTCAAAGAAAAATTGTCACATCAATTTTGCCCCACAATCTCAAATCAAAATCATGATAAAACATAACTCCTTCTTTTAGGTGTCTTAACTCAAATCTTTCAAAGCACTTTCCAGTGCCAAGTGAGCAACTTTGTCAAAAGATACAGGACCTGAAGCTCAGAAAATTAGTTTACATATGCGAATTCAGCAGCAAAATTCAGATTTACAATTTCACACAAATAATTAGTGCATATTGCTCCTCAGATTCCTATGCCAAAATTACTTTTCAAACAGTTTTATAATTTTCCATAAGGCTGCATCAAGGTGAAATTGTATATAAATGAGAGAATTGAGGTGAATTAATAGCCATGAGCAGTTAACAGCAAGTATTAGCACTTGAATTTTAACTTCTGAAATTACTGAATTTTAACTTCTGAAATTACTGAATTTTAGGTCTTTGGACAAGATCAAACCTCAGACTAAGATACTTAAATTTAGACATCTA